GGATCTCAATCACACCAGGCAGGAGCAACTTGCTTGCTTGAAATATATTTAATCCCACTTGCAGAGGCCGGCATTTAATAGCAGGCAAACTTGGCAGGTAGAAATTATAAATACATTTGAAATTTTCTCAGCTCGTTTTACCCACCAGGGGTTGCTGTGATTTTCAGGATAATTTAAAGATAAGGCAGCAGGTCAGAACATAAAACATTAAAGAGGTTAACAAAGAACTGGCAGAATATTTCTTTCTACCCAATAAATGAAAGAAGACATACACATACGTGCACACCACATACACGGCAACTAAGTGTGTCTTTCTCTGAAACTCTTAAAAAAATAAAGGCATGAAATAAATAAAAAACATTTACTTTTTCAGGATCTTTCCTAAATGGAAAGATAGCTTTATCTAACACTTTGCAAAAGAAGAAAAGAATTCCAGGTTTCAGGGACAGAAAAGAACTTGTAGACTACGTCTCACAGAACAGACCAAACAAACGGCCGATTAAGTAGTAGTTTTCATTTCAAGTGCGGACGCAGACACAGCAGTTTCACCTTCCGATTCTATTACTAACACTAATCTTAAAGTCCCTTCTGCAAAAATGTTCCTTATGTGAACGCCTCTTTATTAAACTCTCACCCACTCATGGGGTGGGAGATCAAAGGATCTTCCATCCTGGGATTCTAGAAAGATTACCTCTGAAGCACAGTTCTTTTGGTAAAGATACTAAAAAGAGCTAAGTAGTTGTGATGTTATTACATAAATTCCTCCAACTTGATTTTCAACCCAGCTTGCCACAGATGGAAAGAAGCTTGGCTAAATGTGCTGCTAAATTTGTGATACTAACCGACTGCTCAGGAAGGAGGATCTGGACCAGCAAACATAAGAATTCAGCATGGCTCTCTGAGGTGGCGGGTCAGGAGGAATGACCAGGAAATGGATGCTAAGGCCTTTGGAATGACAGGGTCACATCCCAGAGACTGTCCTATGTCGGGACTTCCTGTGTACCTGCTGATCACATGCTCCCGTGGCTGTAAGTGTTAAGACTTGACAGGAAGCTAATGATAACAAGGAAGGAAGGAAGATTTAACTGTCAGCAAACAGGCAGAGCGGTGCTGTTAAGAGGATACAGAGCTCATGAAACAGCAGGGCTTGACAAAAGGTAGAGGACAGTGTCTCAGAACCGGCACACAATAAACACAGTTTGCTTTCTTCCAAGGAGATAGAACAAGACAAAAGCAGGAAGTACTGCCCTTCCTTGGAACATCCTGCCAGATTTTCGATGGAAAGTCCAGTGTGTGCATCCATCACATAAGGGGGAAGAGACCACAGTGACACCCCCTCCAATTCTTTGAGAGAAAAATACAAAGATGTATCACATAGCACACTGTTCTTCGTTTGGCTCTTTCCAATAGTCCAGGGCATGCCACATTATGAAGTCATTCCCACTGAAATGGTCCCTTCCATGCCAAACACGACCTCCCTCTAAACTTTCTGCACGGGTCTGCTGCTTAGCACTCATGGCAGGCACTGGACTGGAAAGAGAATCCTATTTCATATTTCTCCCAAACAAAGATTCTGGGTCCACATTACTTAGGTGCTTGTAAGCCTCAAAGGCCCTTGCTTTGCTGTGGTTACAAAGAATATTCCACATATCTGGATAGTTAGAAGTCAAATATTTTTTAAAGAGTCAAGACTATTTACCAGAGGGCCAGCCCCGTGGCTTAGCGGTTAAGTGAGCGCGCTCCACTGCTGGCGACCTGGGTTCGGATCCCGGGCGCGCACCGATGCACCGCTTCTCCGGCCATGCTGAGGCCGCGTCCCACATACAGCAACTACAAGGATGCGCAGCTATGACATACAACTATCTACTGGGGCTTTGGGGGGAAAAATAAATAAATAAATAAAATCTTTAAAAAAAAAAAAAAAAGACTATTTACCAGAGAATTCTAAGGGAATGGATAACCACTTGCCCTCCAAATTGTGTGTAAAACTAAAAACAAGAACAAATAATTTATTTGCACTTATAATCTCATAGTTGCACAATTAATTTAATATGCTCCCTGGTGGGCTCGGCCTATGATGTCACTTTCTGGGATAGAAATCAAATTTTGCTAAATTCTATTAAATGAGAGTGAAATAATATATACAGGCTGCCTGACTTATGGATTTGGTTGGTTATAAAGAGTTTGTTTGTAATTCAGTATTTTTGATACATTTAAAAATAATAAAAAAGAAACAATGTTCAAAATAGTGGTTAGCCCCAGGCAAACCTGCATAAATCTATTTACCCCATAAAGTATCTAAAGTATAGTATTGTGTGTACAGTACTACAGAAGTGGTAAAGTATAGTATTGTGTGTACAGTACTACAGAAGTGGTAATGTACTAGAAGAAAGAATTACAGCTAACATATATTGAGAACCTATAATTGGCAAGAAACTATGCTAAGAGCTTGGCACGTACTATCTCTCTTAATCCTCACAACAATCTTATGATACAGACGAGGAAACGGAGCCTCAGAATGGCTTTGTGACCTGCTCTAGGTCACACAGTGAGTGGTGAGTGCAGAAGTTGAGTACAGGGAGTTGAACTCCAAGGATGGTGCCAAGTGTTAAGAAACTTAGGCCTCTAGTTCCTGCTAATTGTGGGACCATGGACAGGTTACTCAACCACACAGGACCTCTGTTTTCTCAACTGTAAAATTAGAGTCGGATTCACTGATTCTTTCAGCTCCCCTTAGTCTGAAAATTCTATTATTCCATTAACTAACTTCCAGGTGTAATTGTCTTTGATTGACAATTCTATGCAGGGTTTTACTTCTTCTGGGACCACAGTTCAATGGAATACACAGTCAAAACTTCTTTCCCTGTTCTCCCATCCCCGAAACAAGTACATAGTCCCACTGAGGTTTTCTAAGAGTTTTTATCTCCAGCAACCAAAGAATTGGACAGGAAGTGAAAGCGTTCCCTGCTATGTATACCTGCTGCTGTCTTTTGTATTGTTTCAGACCAAGGTCTTTGGATAAATAAAGGATTGAAAGAAGAATCCATCTGAATTTAGAAAAAAAAAATCTAGAATTCAAGTTTTGGCAGCATTTCTCTTTAGGAAAAGTGAGGAGCTTAAGTGAGAAGATGAGACAGACATTCAACATTCTGCCTTCCAAAATGGCTGAGTTTGGAGGAGTCAAGTAGAGGAGAGGAAGTGGGGAACGTGCCTTCCCTTCCCTATTTTCCCACAGATCTTCCCAAAGCACACAATAGGGCACGAGGAAAAATGTCTAAGACAATGGAAAGAAAAGGAAGAAGCAAAAGGAAACCCCAGGCCACAGAAACACGGAGGGAGGGTATCCTTTGGCCAGTGCTAAGGAGCATAAATCCATGAGAGAGGTGATGCAGGAAGGCTGCATATTCAACCGTGAATATAAACCCATGTAACAGAATATCAGGCTCAGAGCAGATATCTTAAAGGTTATCCAGTCTTATCCCCGTATCAACGGGAGAATTTTTTCTAGAGCATCTTTGACAGATGGTGAGGCAGGCTCTGTTTCCACATTCTAAATAACCCATTTCCTTCTTGGACAGCTCCAACAGTTAGAAAGTTCTTGTAACATTATCACTTCCAACCATTTGTTTTAGTACAAGCTCAAATAGGGCAGGAAATTAGTCTTAACTATTTTTGCATCCCCAGAACCTCCAATTTAGTTCACAGCAGATACTCAGTAAACTGTTTGTTAGATTAACACATAAGTAAATTAATGGATATAAAGTATCAAAGAAACAGATTGTTTACTTTCTAACGCATACAATGACTCTTTTATGTATTTGATAATAATCATGTATCCTAAACTCTCTTTTTCAAGTTAACTAAAGTCAATTTTCTCTAACTCTTACTGTTCCGAAAGTTTCCCTCTCGGAACCTCTCATATTACCTATATAGGCCTTTGTCATTTCTTATATAGATTCAAAGGAAACAAAATAAAAACAAGGGGTTATTAAAAGCCCTTTTATCACATCTATTCCCCTTTGTTATTAGCCATAAAAGTCCTTTGACTTTTCTATAGCTTTCTTAAATAAATATTTCAATAATAAAATGTGTTTATTGAAAAAAAAATGAGAAAATGAAAATCTCTCATAATCTCAACAATCTGGGTGCATCTCCTTCTAGTTTTTTTTAAGATTTTTTAATGTAATTTGATCATACTGCATATATCATTTTATACTTGACTCTTTACTTAATAATAAACTATGAACATTTTCTCATGTTATTATCAGTTCTTCACAGAGACCATTTTAAGTACTTACTATATTTTACTGGAGAACTATCCAGTTATTTATCTAACTAATACCTTTGGTTGTACAGTGCCCAATATATCAGTACAAGAAATGGGCCTTTAGAAAAAAAAATCAATGTACATGAATTGTTTCCACATCTTTGATGATCAGTTCAGGACAGATTACTAGAAGTGTAGCTACTAGGTCAAAGGGTATACATTTTTAATACTACTTTTGAAATTTCTTCCTTGAGATGCCCTTCCCCCTCAAGACTCGGTTAAATTCCCTGTTACTGTAGCACTCTGCAGTTTGCTCTTGGAATCTCCATGACCACTCTGAATACTTGGTTACATTTTTACTTCCTTTTAGACTGCAAACTGCACTAAGAGAGGGCCATGAACATTTTTGCTGACTGTGTTTTGCATAGGGCCCAGCACATAGCACATACTCAAAATATGGGTATTTATTCTATCTAGTTGAATATTGTTCAAGTGCTTCCTTGAAAGGGGGTTTGAATTTGTACCCTAGAAATACTGTTTGCATATACCCAACTCACTGCATCAACATCCTAAAACTGTGATACCCCAAATCGGGCACAATACTCTTGGTGTGATTCAATTTTTGCTACAAACGAAGCCTGTGATTTAGAACTCATTTCTCAGCTATTATGAATTCCCTGAGTATAGTAAGCTCTGCACTGAAAATTCAGTGAGACTGGGATCTGAATATTACCAGCTCTCGGGGCAGAAAAGCTCCTTCTTGGCGAGCGATGACAAGTGATGCTGTCTCTCCCTGCTTGGTGCTCCTCAGCATGGCCACAAGCTCTTCCTGAGTTCGTCCGGTGACATCTCTGCCATTAACCTAATGAACGCAATCATATGAGCAGCCACAATTACAACACTTGCCATCTCCTTCTACCCTAGATGGTTTCTGAAAGTAAGCAGAAACTGGGCTCCCATGATCAATGAAGCTCTGAAAAGATGAATACTGAGCACATGGGCCCAAACCAACCACGTGTATAAAACCAATAACATACTGATCATTATAACTGTGGTGCTGGACAGTCTCAGACAGTCAGCAATTAGTATCAGCAGTTTTTCCTAAGACATCGCATTCTTATGAAGGGGAAACCAAACCAACAGATTCCAGAGAATGGTTCCTCAAAAAAGAAGGGAGCAGATTTCAAATGCTTAACTGATACCATTTTCTACATAATACAAAAAGCAGAAATGAACCATTATCATATGGAAAATTCCTCTGGAAATAAGAGTCTTTCGCTATAATTCTACAGTGTTCTCCATGTTCTCTGTAATTCTACAGAAAATTATAGTCACCAGGTTACCATAGATTACTGGAGATTCTAATTTGGAGTGACATTAGTCATTTGGTACATTTTCTTTCATAATCTAGAACTACATAAAAGCTACAGTGTTGCTCCATGCCATGAGAAAGCTAAATGGAACCAGCCAGTTTCAATGAAGATGACATCTTTAAAGGTAAATGACAATATGCATTTAGCCAGGAAGATGATGCTACCAAACAAAAATAAATGAAAAAAAAAAGCCCCTGGGCCGGCCCCATGGCTTGGCGGTTAGGTGCGCGTGCTCCGCTGCTGGCGGCCCGGGTTCGGAGCCCCGGGCGCGCACCGACGCACCGCTTCTCCGGCCATGCTGGGGCCGTGTCCCACATGCAGCAACTAGAGGGATGTGCAACTACGACATGCAACTATCTGCTGGGGCTTTGGGGAAAAATAAATAAATAAATAAAAAATTAAAAAAAAAAAAAAAAGCCCCTTGTTTTTGGTATTCCAAACACTTCTCTACAGGCATAGATCAACCTGAGACAGGCTGGCCCAGCCTTGCAAGAAGTTTAAAGGAACTGTTACAGGGCTTGGTGTGATTTTGAAATTCTTGGCCCTAAATGAATAAATGATGGACTCTTGGATCTGATCCAAATTCTACAGGCACCCTAAGAGGTAGACGTAAGAAAGAGAAGACAGGGAAAAGTTTTCAGTATTATTTGGCCCCATATCAACTGCCCTTATTGGGGACTTACAAAGTTAGGCTTCTCATTAACCAGTTTTCTAATTAAAGTCCTTATCTTGTCTACAAGAAATCATTCTCAATATATTGTATTTAAATTTAATATATATGTTTATATACTTACTGATTTAAATACCAAGAAATATTTTATGGAAGATACTAATTCCAGCTCTTACCTCCAAAATTCTGTCCCCTGATTGTAGGCGGCCATCTTTTATTGCTGCTCCCTTTGGTAAAATGTTTTTTACAAAAATTGGACCAGGACCATGTATGGAAGAGTCTCTGGTAACAACAGTGAAACCAAGTCCTTCAGGGCCTAGGGTACAAGATCAGGAAAACGCATGGTCACCTTACGCAGGAGTAATATTACATTCAATCTTACAGCAAAATCTACCTAATGCAGATTAATGTAGAATGAGTGAAATATTTACATTATGGCAAATATTTTAAATATGCTTCAGTTGTTCTGGTTTCAAATACAGATTATAGTTCCTCACAGGCCATGATACTATCAAAGCGAATTTAGGGCCCAATGCAGATGCGGAGCACTTTCTTTTATTACGGTCCTAGAAGAAATGCCACATGTTATCCATACACGTGGGAGATGGATCTCTCAGTAAACCATAACCCGACTTCATACTTTCCTGAGAAGTGACAGGCCATCTGACGGGATCCGTCAGGCTCTCACCGGGCTAGCCAATAAGCGGCTGCCCTCTGGCTGCGTCTCCAGTCCTTGGATACTGCATCCTGTTGTCCCCTCACTCATGCTTGCTGCCCCTGCCCTGTTCTCTTGCATTTCCAATCTCTCTCTTCCGGTATATTTTTTCATTTCATCTAAAAGTATGCTCAGATTTCTCTACCCTACAGAATCCTTCCTTCAATCTACTGCTTCTCCAGTCTTTCATCACCAATGACCTACCCATGACCACATCCAGTAATTCCTTCTATTCTTGGTCTTTCCTCTTCTCTACCTTTGACACTTCCCACCAATCATCTTCTTGTCATTAACTCCCCCCTTGGTTTTCATATTTTTATTTCCCATGTCTGATCACATCATGTCTGTCTCTCTCTCTCCTACCCACTGATCTCCCACATAAACATAGATGTTCCCCAAGGATCTGTCCTGGAACAATTTGTCCTCTGGATGCTCTGCTGTGGCCAGCTCCTAGCTCCAACTACCATCTCCCTAAGGAAGGGACTTAAATCTCTTTGTTTGACCCGATCCCTCTGGTGTCAGCTGCCTGGATATCACCTTGCACACACTTGCACCAGCATTTCAAACTTCACTATGAATCTCTTCTCTAGTCCAGATCCTGGCCTTTTCAAATACACTCAGCTACTTAAAATTCTAATTTCTAGCCATGGCATCTCCATTGTGCAAGCCACCCTGGCTGAAAAGCTCAGCAATAACTGTAATTCCTCTCGCTCTTCCTTCCCATATCCAGTCAGCTCTTAAGGCATACATACTATATTCAGACAGATGCAATGCACCCTTGACTGATCTTTTGTTGTTTGGTCTCTTCTTCAGTATATCTCTTTGCTGTCAGATTAATCTTCCCAAAGTAGAGCTATGATGTCATATTCTTTATTTTTGCATTCAAGGCTTTCTGATGGATTTTTAAGGTCACATTCTGTGTCTGATTTACCTTTCCTCAAAGCACTCAATCCCATACTCAGTCTATATGTAGCTGGATAATTTATAGGGAAAATACAACTGATGCATTTATATAAAAGCCTAATTGCTAAGCACATCAGAGCATTTGTGCCTCCTAGTCAATACATTTTCTTCCCACTATAGAATTCTTATAGGGGGATGAAATTTTGACCAGAGAATCTTTCAGAATAATCTCTATCAAAGGTATATGTAGTTTGCTTCTGATATATGTTATTATTAAGTATTCTAAAACTACCTTGTGATCATTAAATTCTCTACTAATTCAGACAAAAAGCTATGAGATCTTGGTTTCTTCTGAATTGCATCTTGAAAATCATGTAGGATTGTAGAAGTTTGCAGTGGGGGTAGGGATTACCAGGAGAAGTTACAAAATAAACAGAAGCACAGAAGTGCATGAATACTTGTGTGTGTGTATAACAAGGAATAAATAGGATCCCGCACACACACAATCTAGTCTTGTTGATCTGCGCTTGAAAGGGCTAGAAAAGTTGAAATAGATGAAGACAGAAAAGGTTATACATGCTTTTGTATGTATGTTTTGAAAAATTGTTTTTAACATTGAATTATTGAAATTAGTAATTATCACGTTTGCTTTCTGAGGAATAAATTTTTTGCTGGTCTAAAACTATCTTAGAAAACCAGAAACAATATGCTTTTTGGACTTGGTCTAAAGGAAGCTTCAAAAATCATAAATCTTGCTCAAAACAGGGACAACTAAATTTTAGCGCCTATTTAGTATTAAGTAGTGATACAATATTGCTCTGTTTCTCTCAAGTTTGCAATATTCTTTACATTCCCCAACATGTCTTTATTATTTTGTTTCTATATTTCTTCTACACTCTCCAGAAGAAAAGAATAAGGAAGTACTACAATTTCAAGACATTTAAGTTACCTAAGTATACACTTAAATCTATTCTTTGATACAATTAAACGAAAAGTGAATTAACGAAATTAGCCTTAATGCATTTCTCTTAACCAATTTTACATGTTACAATAATAGAATGCTATTAAGCATAATTTAATAATTACCTTTCTTTAGGTCAATCTTAATTTTCTTTGCATTTTTCTTGCTGCCAAACCCCAGGAGAGGGGAGAGTGAGGGCGAGGATGTGTTTCTCCCAAGTCTTGGCACTCGAGGGCTCTGGCTTTGTTGCAGGGAAGTCGAAGCATCTTCCTCAGGACTGCTTGCTCCTGTGAGATTTACTGTCTTTATTCCTGATTTCCCATGGACAGGAGGTGGCAGCTTTGTCCTCAAAACGCCATCATTATTACCAAAAATGTTGAGAGGTCCAATGACGGATTTTTCATACTGTTCCCGGTTTGGAGGTGGAAGCACGCGGAGGAACACACTTGGCGATTTCATCGCCTGACGGAAGACATCCTGAGCCCTTGAAGGAGAGGCAGGAAACGTGTAATGACACCGCGTTCTAGCCTGTGGTCCACATCGTGGCAACGGGCGCAGCAGGAGCACGGGAGACACCGTCACCATTACTACTAGCGTGACTTCGCTAACTAGATACTAGTTACCACTTATGACTTGCCCACTAGGTGCCCCGCACTGGGCTACACAGGCAGTGTTAACGTGCATACTTCTCTCATGGAATCTTCTTAACAACCTTCTTAATTAATCTTCTCATTTAATCTTAGCTAAGTATAATTAGCTCTCATTTTGCAAAGTGAGGAAATTGAGACTCAGAGATTAACTTGTCTAATGACCCACAGTTTTTAAGTACTTCTAAACCTGAAAATCTATCCAGAAGGGATTACTGAAGTAAATACAAAAGCAGGCTTTAATTTTAGAAGAAAAAAAATCGGTTTGTAGTATTGATCAGATTATCAACTAGTCTCCTTTTAGGACTGTGTTCTCAGGCACGGGTCTTCTCTAACACTGGTTGTGTTCCTGAAGTTCAAGGTTTCCTCGCCGAGACATTTGGTAGGTGCGGGTCGTGTTGATTGCCACGGCGGTTGTCAATCCCATATGCACTCTCCCTGTTATTCTATGATAGACTACCTGTTCTTGTTACTTTTTTGTCTTGGCACTTTGTGTTTTTCCTCAACTTTCCTATTACTTTTTCTTCTTCCTTATGCCTTCTTATGCCTTACGAGTAGGTAAACAAACTACCTTTCCCAGCCTTTCTTGCCAACGAGCTGTAAGGGAAGGCGTTAGAGGCAAGTGGGCTCATCTGGGAGGCAGAGACTTTCTTGTGCTCCTGTTTCCCTTTCCTATTTCTTGAAACTCAGAAGTGATGGAGGGAACTCCAGCAGCCATCTTGTGACTGAGACACAACTTAAAGATAGTAGCCACATAGTAAGGATGGCAAAGGAGAAAGATGGAAGACGCCCGATGCACTGATGATGGTGGAACCCTATACCAACTCTTGACTGCCACCTCCACACTTGTTTGTCTTCAGAAGAAATAAATTTTAATCTTGTTTAAGCCACCCTTATTTCAGGTCTTTGTTACTAGGAGCCACACCAAATAATAATTAATTGTAATTCCAACTACTATCTGAGCCCCCCCAGCCCCACCCTTAGTGAGGTGTGTAACTCCCCACATTGTTAGGGGAGGAGGGGGAAGACTTCACATAGACAGCCCAGCTCCTTTGTTCAGTCAGTTTCTACTCCACACTAACTCCATGCTGAATTTTTGTGAGCCTCAATTTCCACCTCTGTAAAATAGGGATAAACTGTCTGCCTTTCATACTTATCAAGTCCTTGTAAAAAGCACAGTAGTATATAAAAATAATATCATTATTAATAATTATCGTAATTTTGTCTATTATTCATTATTTTCAGAAACAGACTCTTAAGGCTTCATTTCTTTCCACATTTGAGCAGCCAGTGCCCACTGCCCTCCCACCACCCACAACCCCCCACCCACAACCACTCACCCCCTCCCACACACACACACAATATTGACAACTAATGGTCACAGAGAAGATATATTACGAGTTGTTTTGGTCAGAAACAGGAGAGATTGGTGTTCATTACTAAGGAGTATTTACTCCCTTGTTCCAGAAGCCCACTGCAATGCCAACATACATTTTAAAAAACTTACACAGACTGCTACATACTCTAATTCTTTAGGTATTCCCATAACATTTTCACATGCAGAGAAATGATTTCTTGAGGGAGAGTATTTTAATTTTTTTCATTTGTTTCTATTATTTAGTGAGTCCTCACAGATATCTCGCAGAGATACACCAAGTAAGTTAATTAATAAGCTGAACTAACCATCTGTGAAAAGAGTCATTAAATACCAATCTAACTGACCCATACCCCAAGAAAAACAAACCCATCTATTGATGCCCCAGAAAGACAAGCAGGCAGGAACGCCACTGCATTCTGCAGTTTACCATTCCTGAGGCTGTGGGGCTGTGTGCAGGCCACCTCTGAGGACGCTAAAGCATGAGACAGATTTGAAAATGGATGTTCTGGGGTCATTCAAAGGGAACTGACCAGAAATTCTGCCTACAGTTGTGATCGTAATGAGCTCAGTAATGATTACAAGCATTCTAGCGATCAATAAAGTAAATAAACAAATGAAAAACTGCTTACTGAGCAAAGGTTTTGTCTACGAGGTCCACATTGTTGATTTTTACAATACATTCATTTTCATGAAACAGTCCTTCCCGCTTGGACCTGCTGTTTTCTTCAATGCCACGGATGAAGAGTCCTAGAATCCTAAATGCAAGATTTAGGTTGAAATAGAATTACTGAATAATAATATGCTAATTATTTCTCCACTTGCAACTATTTAGAAATAAGTATTGATTTCTATTTATGAAAGAAATTATGCTTTATATTCATGCAACTGTTTGTTATTTAAATCCTTAGTAAAAAAAAAAAAAAAATCACTCACTAAAAGAGAAAAAGCCCTTCAAGACAAATGTACATAAACCACAACCAGAGTATGTTAATCTACGATCCCATTTCTCGTGCTTGCAGCACACTAGGAAAGGCTGGGTAGCTCAGTGGGATTGAGGACACAAAGGCCCCGCGGTCTGGAGAAGGGCTCACTGTAGTAAGTCAGCCTGAGTTAGTGCCGAGGGGGCAACTTGACATTTAGTAATGGGAGAGCATTAGGTATCCACTGTCATTTTTGCAGTCTTACTACCTGTTTCAATAATTTGCATTTCAAGAAGTAAACATTTAAGTGGAGATCATATTACTCAGGTTAGAAGGAAGTTCACTCCCGTTTGCTGGTTTGCTGGTGTCACTGAATCAAGTACAGGTTGTTTCCTGTGTGCTCAGAATGGAGGAGAATGAGACAAGGCTGTAGGACCAGGACAAATCCAAGGACAGGCTCTAAGTATAGTAGAAATTAGAAAACTGCAGACATCAATAAGCCTAGAATCTTCCTAGAAGGGTTTGGGGAGAAACTGGGATGTAAACTGGGTCAGAAGAAGAAGTAGGATTTGGCTAGGAGGAGAGAGAACATTCGCGAGGCAGGCAGGGCCCGTGCGTTTGTGTGAGGAGCAGGGCAGGGAGCTGACACTGGATGGGGAGAGCAGCGCCATGTGGTGGGCCTGGAACACCAAGCTGATGGGCTTAACCGGATGAGGCTGGAGGTGTACACCCACCACCCACTGCTTCTGAGCAAGACAGCGACATGATGTAGGAAGAGTCTAAAATTTCATCCAGGAAGGGTCTAGATTCAGAGAGGACACCCGGGGGTGCTGGTGCTTTGTGGCTGTGGCTAAGAGTCAAGAGGGGAGGGGGTTGGACAAAAAGGAAAGGAGAAAGAAAACTACAGCAATAAAAATAAAGAATAAATTTTATGTGTGTGTGTGTGTGTGTGTGTGTGTGTGTGTGTGTGTGTGCGCGCGCGCATGCGCATCTCTGTTACCTATTGGTAGTATCTAAACCAAAAACTAAAAGGAATCAAACCTGTGTGTATTTTGGCTATTTCTCATTTGAAGGATTTCCCTTCCCCTAGCGGCATGTCAGGGTCCTCGCTGTGTCCCAGAGAGAAAAAGACAGATCCGTCCTCCGAGAGGAACCTGCTGGGGTGGGTGCAGAAACTGACATCTCCCCCTCCCTCGTCCTCTAGTCTGTCTACTTTGTCATTCTTTCGTAAGCGCGCTATTACATAGTCCCTTTGCCTTAAATCTCAAATCTAAATAAACTATGAGCACATTTTATGCTTGAATAATAGGGTCAGCCATGGAAAAAGGGCAGCCTCCAATGAAAGTGGAGAACCATCTTGCTGTTTGGAGTTGCCCCAAAGTTGGCCTCTGCCTGCAGGGCCTCAGTTTCATTTAATGAGCTCATGTCATCTCCAGACGGCAGGAGGAGAGGCACAGGCGGTGTTACTGAGATCTCTCCTTCAGCAGTGTTAAATGAGCACAATACACCGAGGTAGGAGAGAGAAGAGCAAGTTGTCAGGCCACCTACTGCTGGGATGCTCAGGGTTATAGGCACAGTATGCAGGGAGGTGCTCCGCTTCACTGCCTAGTTCTAGTAGCTTTGTAGATTAATCATACTCTGTGTGGAAGAGAAAAAAAGCCACAGCTACTGTTTGACAAAGGATCTGAGATTCAAATTAATATTTTTAAGATACTAATCTTACCTTAATCTCGTAACATGATATTTAAAATTAAACTATTTGACAGGGAAAAAAAAAAGAACGAAATAGTGTTTCTTTCCTAAATTAAAAAATATTCTAATAGTTCACATTTTGGATTTTTGTTATGGTGGATTCGCAATAACATGATACATTAGGAGGCTCACGTGGTTATAAACTAGTTTATGTAAGCGATATTTTTTTAACAAGCATTCAAGTCTTCCTTTAATTTAATTCAGTACATCATCAGTCATGTAATGTTACTCCCTAGGATTTAATTTCACATTTTGGGAGATGAATTAATTCTTTCAGGCCACTGGGTTGCAATTTAGCTGGCATATTACAGCTGGAGTATGCTATGTAAACCTCACTGATCTAAATAACCTGAGTTTCCATGAAAAATTTATTGACAGAATAAGCCCAACTGTAAAACCCTTGTGTCAGAGGTAATTTTGGCAAAATGTAAAACTGACTGATGTTATTAGTTTGGTTCCTGGCAACAAACCACTCCTGCATATTCTCTATTCCATGGAAGGGATGGATTCCCTCCAGTTTGGTTTCATCCAGACCAGCGTGGAAGGCTCAGAAGACAATCTCTCCTTATCCCCATGGCCCCAAATGAGTGGGCTGTGGTAGCTATCTCATCTGGGACCAAGACTCTCGTACTGTCGAGGAGTTATAGGCTGAGATGAACCAGTTAATTTGCATTAATGAGCACTGATAAAGGATGCTGAAATGCACAGCGCCACACAATAAGAAGGGTAACAACTGCTTGCTTCTCTTCTAATAATCACTTAGGCACCAACCCCCCTTTCCTTGCCCCCTTCCGTTCTTCCCACTGTGTCACGTGCTGTGGCCGCTCTACTAGCTTAGCATTTTTGTCTAAACATCTCCTCTGCTCACATTATGTGTTAGTCTTCACCCATCCCTTCCTTCTTCTCTCTCATATTTAGCTGTCTTTACTATGGCTGAGGTATATTACACTATCTTTATTTACTGAAAAACAATTAGATTGCATGCTTTTAATTTGAAAACAAAACCACATTGCTTGTTTAAAAAATGAATTCATTAAGTTGCTTTTTACTTGCAGGGACTCGGTTTTTTGTCTGTCTGTTCTGTTTTTACTGTGCAAGCCAATGGCCCTCCACCCAGGCGGCATTCAGTGCCTGCACTGCAGCATCTAATGAACCCACTGAGGCCGTATTTCTACAGTGGCCACTCTATTGGACTTAGGGTGTTCTAACTTAGATCAGGTTTCTGATTCAACAACAGGTGTGGCAGTATTTTTCTAAAAGAAAAAAAATAAAAAAGAAATTGGAGGCAAAGCCAATTACAGTAGTCTTAGTAAATAATAAAATGTAAATTCTAATTTAAAATAATGACACAAACCAATAAATTGAAGGAAATTAAGAACTAAGTAAACCACTATGACCTTAACTCAACCCCCTCCTCCTCTGCTAGCACGGTGAAGCCATATGGCACTATGAAGTCAGACTCTTGTCTGACACGCTCTACACACAGTTGCATCTAGACACATGGGTTGAGTTAAGTGTGCTATTTCAGCCTGTACTCATTACTTCTTAACTTTTATTGGCTCATGTCTCCACTTCTATATTATTGTTAATGCTTTTAATTAAATTTCCTTTCTATAATACAAGTGGAGAACATAAAAAAATTATACAACTATTTCACCAAGTTACCGAACAGTTGGCCATGAATTTATAAAAGTTCATTTCTGAACCAGGCTTTTCTGTTTTAGCCAAAATAATAATACTGATAATGTACACATTCATATGTTGTGTATTTTACAAGGAGCTTTCAAATTTTTAATGTCATTTAATCCCCACCACCTTGATGTGAAGTAGGAATTCACAAGAGGCAAGTTTAGGAGCCTTGCTCAAGGTGATAAAAGAGAACACTGAGATGCAAATCCCACTGCTCTGGACCGAAGTCCAACGCTCTTTCCACTGTTCTACAAGGCGTGTGCTCAAAATTAGAAGCAGGAAGGAAAAGGGAGGGAACCAATAAATTCTCGTGTGTTTCCCTTATTTGAAGTGAGAGAAGGTGATTTCTGGTCTATAGGGTCAACTTGTTTTCTGAACTATTGAGAATGAAGGATGGTGACTGTCACATTGTATATTTCTTCATGTTTTGGAAATTGGGATGTTCTTGTGTTTCTATTCCAGCTTCATTAAGCCAAAGGGCCTGGTAATTTAACAGCTCTGGTATTTCACAAAGCTCAATCAGTACACTTCTGCCAAAAGCCATTAGAATTGCTCATGACAACTGGGTAAATACCCTCCCTGTCTATCAAAAACAACCTCAGCTTGTCCTGTGCCATAACCCATAACATTTATAAACACGCTTATTAGCACACACAGGAAATGAGACAATAAGAGCCACTATCTTTTCAGTTCATTTCTTTTTGAGGAACAGTCATTCCAGCAAAAGCTTGGCATCAGATGTTATTTGCAAAAAAAGGTGATGACTGTGCAATTATAGGTAGCAGATGGCTACCTCCTGAAAATGATGCCAACCAAAATATCATGACTAAACCTGCTCTTCCCGCTATATGGCAGACCGAATTGAATAAATATTCAGAACCAGTAAATTAATGCTATATAACCTTTGGGAAAAATTTTTTTCTAGAAAAAGCAATGGAGTGAGGGCAAGTCAGGAGATCTGGATTTTGTATGACCTTGAGAAAATACGTTGACTTTTCTGGTCTTTGATCTCCTAAGCTAAAATAAAACATTCTGCTTTTCAATGATGCATGTAAGAAAATAAATGTAGCAAATTCATTAAAATCACGTCATATGAGTGAGAAACTGATTTTCTTGTAAGTGTCTGATAGCCCTTGTCAATATCAGTCTAGTGCTACAGGCAGTCATCTTACTGAAAAGTGACACAATATCTGATACTAGTTTTGTAAGGGTGTCATAATAGTACTAATATTGACTCTCAGGCACACACTTTAATTTACATCAGTAAAACAAGTTTTATATTCAGTTAGGTAGATATGAAATTCATGAATTGCTGACACACTCTAAATTACCAATTACCAGTGTGGATTTAGTAATATAATGTCTTTAAAATTTCAAAAGGATGTGGTAAATTATTTTTAATTGATTGTATTTTATTTTATTTTAGAAAATAGTAAATAGCATGATGGCATTTTGCTACTATAGCTAAAATCATCAAAACATATAAGTTTCTAATATAGCTTCTTATAATGTTAGAATATTTATTATTCTAAGTTCTATATACTTGAGGAATATCAGAAAATACCAATTTGGAATCAGTATATTCGCTTGTTGAAGTGTATTTTGGAACATTAAAAAATTCAGTTGCAATATTCATCTAACAATATGTTAAAATCTTTTCCAAGGATTCTGTTTACTGTGTATCACTGATAAGAACACTAAGAAAATACTTCATAATTAATTGCAAATGCAGAAACTGTGATTGATTTTTTTCTTTTCCATTGCATTCTAGAAATTAATGATTTTATTCTGTTTCTAACACATAAGTGGCCAATAGAATTATATCTTGAGGTGTCCATCTGTATAACAGAGATACACACTTAATCTCCTCTGAAAAATATTTGGGAGAATGAGCTCAAGTAAGTCTTTCATTAGCATGAGCTTCTGATATAAGGGAAACATCTTACCTTCCGCTCAGAGATGAAAAGAAGGGGACTACATGTATTCCCAAGGGGCCTCCTTCCCCAGAAATCTCCACTGTTCTTGTCATATCACTGGGGCAGAAAAAAATAACAGCACAGATGAGTCTCTGCTAAAAAAACAGATGAGGCACGTTAAAAAAAAACTAAACCTTAGGATTATATCAACTACTGTAAATTCAACAGCAGAGATGAAATCAAAGGAGTACATGATTTGCAGGTATGTTCAGAAGATCCAGGAAATAAAATGTTCAAAAGACTATCTGATTTCTTATTTTTTCCCCTAGAAGAGGAACAAATGGAAATGACTACCTACAAAAATAACTTCCTACTTAACTTAATCTGCATAAATCAACATATTTAAAAGGATGTACACAAAAATGAAATTTCAAGTGTGAACCTATTGAGACACTCTTGAAAACTACTGTACAGATGATAAAATACATAGAATTAAGCATATCTATGCTTAAGCATAAAGTAGGCTTTTCCCCCCCAAAATAGAGGGAAAGAGAAATAAAATATGTATTTATTAGAAAAAGCACAGAATTACATTTTACGACTGTGAAGCCTCAGTTGGTAATACATATGGGCACGTTCAAAGCGTCATAAATCAAAACTTAACTTGCCTTTCAATAAGGCATTGGTTGTATTCAATGGAACAATTCCAAATTTTCACCTCCTATTTTTTTTAGAGGCAGAAAAAGAAGTTACAAAGCCTGGAGAAAATGTATTACAGAAAGAATGGAAAGCATGACCCACCTAACCTACTCCAGATTAAGACAAGGATGAGCCAGAAACATTCACGGATGGTGTATATGACTGAAATATACAAGACATTGGGAGAATTTCAGTAATAAAGAGTGGAACTAACAAGTTTTTATGAAGATGAAAAATAATAACTGTGAACAATTATTGGCTTCTTTAACCCCAGAGAGAGAAAATAGAATTGCCAGAGGGAAAATGATCAAATTGAAGCAAACATCCCCATTATGGAAATTGTAAGCAGGTCTCTATTGTTTCCTATTTACATGAAAATGACCAGAAACTAGATGTCAAATTAAGAGCTACAGCTGCTACAAATGCTTTTCTGCTCCAAATTGAAAATGGTGAAATTTTGGCTCCTTGCTGGAAAGTTGAGAACAGCATTAAGAAAGCAAAATGCCTGATGAATTCACTCAGCATGAAGTATTCTCTAAATTATCAGCAATCTAAAACAAATATATTAAATATATTCTCATTCAGTGGATTAAGCTTATTTTTAATGTGTTTTTGTTGCAAACCTATTATCTCTAAGAACTGCAAAAAAAGAGCATGTCAGTTTCCAACATTGGCGGAATATGATGGAATTTCAAATCTGATAATAAATTTCAAATGAGTTTTGCTCAGATATTGCTGATATATTTAAAACTTGTTCAGTCAAGCAGGTTATATCAGAGACCTGGAATAAAAGTCAGAAACAAACAAATCCTAGAGTGATAATATCCTGCGATAAAATAGCTGCTTCTTTATACTTTCTGAGAATACAGACATTATATGAATATATGCATATGAAACACTATATACAAGTATGCATTCTAAGTCCAGAATATAAAACATTTGGTGGGCAGAGAAAGTTGTATAGCTTTTAATGGACCACAGAGCAATTATTTTTATATAATAACAGATTTATAGTGTATTCGCAGGTACTTGAGGAAGACTAAACCCAAAGCATTCACTTTCTAGGGTGACAGTACTGTTTCAAAGACTTCTAGAAACAGAGATTAACATCTTGTTTAACCATTGGAACTTTATTATCTCTACCTTTACAATGTATTTTTATAGTTTTGCACTTAAGAGTATAACACAAGTCCTTCCTAATAAATGTATTAAGTATCTTCACCCGAGGCACATGGACAGTATTTTTAACATTAAGACTAGTCAGCTCAGTAATAGGCCACTCGTTGAGGGTGAGGGAGGGACAGGACTGAGGACAGGGAGGGGGAGACTCCTTGTTTCAGAAGGAAATCATGATTAATTTATGAAATCAGATAGAAGTATCCTAGTGGTGGCTTTGAGTCAGGTGTCTGAGTAAATCATTTAAACCAAGACCAAAAGTATGAGGAAATTAAGATAAATTCCTAACAGAGTTGTTGGTTTAAAAAAGAGAGACAGAGAACATAACACGTACACATCATACATACAGTATCTGGCATACACAAAGAGTTCAATAACTATCAGCTATTAGTGTGATTATTGGTGCTTTCTGAGGAAACAAATAAGCTTATGGATTAAAAGTGAATAATCTATCTCAAACTTTCCAATTTTTCTCAATTGATTTCCTCAGTTGAGAAGACTTTTTTTAAAAAGCCTTCAATCCTCTAGGACTGAGGAACAAATTTTCTTCACGATTAGACTGCTGACATAGAGAAGACAATGGGTTGTAATAGATGGATGGAAGGCATTGGTTGGTGTTCCTCAGGGGCTGGGGCACAGATCTGTCATACGTAACGGTGTGAGAGACAGACTGTGGAGACAACCTCCAGGAGGAGAACCTGTTGATGACGCTGAAGTCTACTCGACGGTGAAATGTCTTGTTGACGAGAATATACTGAGTAAAACTCTAACAAAGAATTTGTTGTTGATGGTGATGGGATTCACTGAATCACCTGAACTCAACATATATTAATTGAGTAGTTCCAGAGAGAAAGTTCTGCAAGGGAAAAACAAAGACCAGTGCTTGAGGAGTTCATAACCTAGGGGTCAGGTTAAGACCAGCAACAAAAAATAACACAAAGCAACAGAAGGACAGAAGTAACAGCAGCATGTTCTCAATGCAAGTCAGCTGTTATTTGGGAGGCAGGGTGCTAACTGCCTCCTGGGCATTAGAACATGTACTCACATCAAGTGTATGAAGTAAACAGATCACTTCCATTTTACAAAAAGTAAACTGATGCTTAGAGAGGTGAGATCATTTGTCCAACATCACACCATTCATACAAGATAGAGGCAGGACTTAACTGGATTTACTGCATTCCAGAGCAGTAGTCTTTAAGCACTTTGACACGTGAGTTTCAAAGCAGAGGCACCTTCTGACGAGGTTCAGAGGAAGAGGGTACAGGCTAAGGCAGGGAAGCTGGGATCAGGAAAATTGTAGACAATGGAGTCGCTAAAGTTTTGGAACTAAGGAGCAGTGTGATAAATGCTGTGGTTCAGAAATATTTAGCTGGCAGTGATATGTGGGATCGATTAGGAAAGGGAAAAACAAGGGAGAGTTGTACTTGAGACAGGAATTAGTAAATCATTGCAATAATGGATCTGAGAGGCAATAAAGCATGAAAACACAGGGAAAGCTTCAAGATATTTTGAGAAGGACTCTGCCAATAATTTGCAAAACAAATGATATCAGAGGCAGCGGAGAAGATAGGAGAACACGTGATGGCGGTTTTAAGCCTGGAAGAAGAGGCCAGTCTGGAGGAGGCTGATTCGGGGAACTTTCAAGGAATAAGGTGAGGTAAGGAAAGAGACAGAAGTTAGAAACAAGGTGAAGATCTTCCTCACATATTGCTGGCTATTTAAAAAGAAGCTTACAGTGTAATTTTATTAAAAAAAAAACACCCAATAGAAACCTCTTGCTTCATTGTCTTCTTAAGATCAAAGTAAATCGAGCAGTGCTTCATAAGCAATGCATATTGTAAGACTATTTGGAGAACTTGCTCTAAATGTTATTTTTCTTTAAATAAAAATATTTGTGTTAATAATGCGGGAGCAGTTAATAGTTATGCTTATGATTCATGGAGCAATCCATTTGTTTTTTTTCCATTCAGTCACTCACTCAACAAATACACTGCTATTATGTTCCAAGTCCTGTAATATGTGTCAGGAATCCCTTGGGGGATTCGGAGACTTGTTTGGGAGAATGATGTTACAATAAACTGTAGTATGTGTGATGATGATAACTGCAATAGCAATTAATATTTATCCAGCCTTTCATTTAGCATTGTCCTAAGTGCAGTTGCCTATAATACGTCTCATTTAGTCTTCACAATAATCTATGTGATCACGATACCCATTTTCCATAAGAAAAAAAAAAACATTTTAAAGAAGTTAAATAATTAGTCCCAGGTTACATAGGTAGTGTTCAAACTCAGGACTTAACAAAATCCAAAGGTTTTGGAACTAAGGAATTGTTTGATAAATACTGTGGTTTAGAAAATTTTATCCAGTAGTGATACGTGGGATCAATTAGAATAAGGAGATTGAGACTCAAGAGACGAGAGAGAAGGTTATGACAATAGTCTAACTGAGAGATAACAAAGGCCGGAGCAATGAATATGGGAATTAAAACAAAAGAACAGATGCAAGACATTTCAAGATGGATTCTGCAAATAATTTATTTATCTTCTACTCAATCTGCATGGAAGTAAACCCAATGTCCTCTGCTTGAGCCAAGCTCCGTGGGATATCAGACCATCCTTGCCCAGGAGAATATCCACCAAGTAACACAGCTCTAAGTGGCTCTTAATTTCTCTCCAGTTGCTTCTTCATTATCCCATACCTGCTAGAACCAATGTCCTCTCATAGAACTGTCATCTCCAAGCTTTCCCCTGCTTGCTGTCCATTCCGTGCTGTTAAGATCCCTCTCATCCTTCCCCACCCAAGAGCCTGCAAGTGCTGGCAGTCTGCCCTCACTCTGCTTTCTGAACTTGGCCTCAAACTGACTTCAGCTGACTTCTCCTACACTGGAATTGTCTTAGCCCTCATTATATAGGATGAAACAAAACACCAAGGAATCAGGGAAGGTGCACACAGCGGGTAACACTGGAGTCAGAGGATTTGGACACAAGGGTGGTGGATATAGATCGGGTCTCTAAAAGTTACTTAATTGTTCTGAATTGCAATTCCTTAGCCTACTAAAGGTGATGATAAACTTCACATGAAAAGGCGGTTTTGATAATCAAACTATACATATATATTTTTTAATAAAAGAATATTATTTTTTAAAAATCCTATATGCTATTTCTCTCAATTCCTTCTTCCTGAAGAAAGCTGAGCTGATTTGTTCATGCAGCCATAAACCAAATAATTGTTCACAGCTATCCCCACAACATTTAGCCAAGATGTTAGCAAACTGCTCAAAAAGCTAACGTTAAAAAAATGAAATTAAAGGCAAACAGAATAAGAGTATTATATTCATTATGTCTACCTCCAAAACCAATTTTATCAAGCTTCTAAAAAGACAGTGCCCTGGAGATTTTCTGTACCAAACTTTTAGTATTGTGCAGCTCATTAATCAAAGAAACATAATCTAAATAAAGAGTAACTATGTCATATGGCTATAAATTATTAGCTTGAGGAAAATCCACAGTAAAGCAATGTGATAAAGAATGATCACATTTTTTTGAAAGTAAATTCCATGTAAAATGCTTGGTACCTATTTGTAACTGGACTGAATGAAAGAAATATGTTGACCAATGAATGATGAATGACCATCAACCTAAGAAGCATCACTTTCTAGTGCTGAAGCCAACAATCTACTGAACATGGAATTACCTTCCTTATGCAAAATTTGAAGCAACTTAGAAAAAAATGATAATAATGACAATGATGGTGATGATGATAATAATAATAGAAATGATGATGATAACAATAGCAGTCATAGTGACAGCAGCAAATACTCACAGGGCTTACTCTGAGCCAGGCACTGTTCAATATATTCAGTTAATATATGCTTTACATAAATTAACTCATTTAATCTTCACACCAACTCTCTGAAAAAGGTTTTAATATTATTTCCATCTTACAGACCTAATGCAAAGGGACATGAGTGATGTGCCTAAGCTCATGGAACTAGTCAGCAGCAGGGCTGGGATTTGAACCCAAGCAGTTGTTAGGGCAGAAGTGGAAATGAGGGCAGAGCAAAGGCAGTCCTGGTAAGCACGAGAGTAGCTGACTTTGTATAATGAGTTACTTACATTAAAAACATGAAAAATCCTGGTTGATAGGCTAGATCCATTTTATATACATCAAGTAAAATTTTGCAAGATTATGAAAACACAATGCAAAGCAATACTCGAAGAGCCAATGTCAAAGTAGAACCCTCAACTACAGTGAACTCTGAAATGTTCACCTTAAACTGCTGTTCAAAGAGAAGAAAAGAGCAATTAAGAAATCCAGGCTACAGGAGAGTTGGAAGGATTGAGGCTCATTCGTACATATATTTGTCGGGAAGTTCTTATATCATGTGAAGAAAATGAGAGGAAAGAGCAATTAAGTAATTAATTTAAGAACTGGGACAGGTTTCACTATTCTACTTATCTTGATCTTTCATATAAAATAAAAAGAACTATAAACTATTAAAGAGACAAACATTAAATTGAAATAAAATATTCTTATTCACATAAAGAGAATACCTCAATGCATCCTTAGTTTTTGGCGATGTCAGTAGTTCTGTCTGTACACCATTCATACCTTCTCCATCTTCTAAGTTCTGTGTGGAATCCTGTAGCGAAACAAACGCGTAAGGATGTGGATGCTGTGCATACAGAATTGAAAATTTGAATAAAATGTCTCCACATGAGGGAGTAAATGGTTTTACTCTGGGTATATACAGTCAGCTCCGATTTCTTTGAAGACTGGAAACTGGTGTTAATCTTTTCAGTGCTTTCAATGTTCTTTTCTCTCCTGTTTGGTTTCTGAAATACTCCAATGGGCCATTTACACAAGGCAGCATGTTAAGAGCTCCGAATACATCATTTAGCTTCCTGCTACTCAACCCTAGGCTTTGGGGACTGAGTGTTTCAAATCAGCAGGGAAAAGGGGAACCAAAGAGAAGGTTCCATTGACAGGTGGTGATGGATGGGCTTTAATGCACCGCACTTGCTTGCACCCCCCGGTGACACTAAAAATATAAAGCAAAGTTGCCTGGCAAGGTCACTTCCGTCACTGGAAATATTGCAAGAAAAGAAATCTGGAGTTCTCACTTTGTCACAAGACTTTGATTCTGAGGATGATCTTCAGCACAGGGAAACTAAAAGCAACTGTTTAATTTCTAAAATGGTAAACCCTCTTCCACTACAGAGAGGTAAGAGGGTCAGAGAGGTCTTTTACTCCAGGACAGGGGCAAAGTTGAGTCAGATGTACATAGAGGAGAGAATAGATTCTAGAAAGCAAGCCTGATTTAGATTCTCATTCATGTAGGACATTAGTTCTCCGGTAGGCTTTGGAACTGTACTCTAAGAGTAATTCCGCAGATCCACTACTCTTCAGAAGCAGGGTCACAAATCAATAGTGTTCGTCATGGACTCAGAATTCACTGAAACAACCAACCACGTTATCAACAGCCACACCTAGAAACAGAGCATTCATCGATCTGAATGCACCATTTCAACCAAAAAAAGACAATACATGAGTTAAGAAGTTGAACACAAAGGAATTAGGTTAATATCTTAAAGAAAACAAGACATGGAGCCAAAACTCAAGCAGTTTGTCATAACGAATTGATGTAAAAAAATGTATTTCACTTTTAGACTGAGTAGCAACATTTCATGTAGGGTTGGTGGTTTTGTGAAGGACTTGGTCTACACTAGATCTTTTTTTTTTTTTTTCCCAATTTTCTTTGTCCTCTCCACAGGAATAAAGAGAGAGAAAAAAATCCACAAAGTTAAAGAACACTTTTTAGTTTAAGGCACCAAATCTTAAGCGTTGAAAGCTTTCGCACATTCCTATTACGAAGGGCTTCATATATGCTCACAGAGAAAAGAGACAGGGTTGGGCACATTACTAAAATACTTAGGTAGACAATTTAACAAAATATCTGAATTTGTGACTATCACACACATCAGAACATTCGATGACTGCATTTACGCCAAAATCATTAACTTTCTTATCTGTCTCTCTTACCCAAGAGGGAACTGCATGCAGGGTGAAGGCATGCCTAGTCCTGTATGTCGAACACACAACGCACAGAGTTCTTGTAGTGAACACTAATGGGTAAATGAGCTGACTGCTATTGTGTTAGTTTTCTAATGCTGTGTAATAAATTATCCCAACATTTAATGGATTAAAAAAATAAACGCTCTCTCATAGTTTTTGGATGTGAGAGATTGAGAAGTGGCTGGGTAGGCAGTTCTGGGCCGGAATCCCTCAGGGGGTGCTGTCAAGACATCAGCAGGGCTGCAGCTGCACTCATCTAACGGCAGGACTGGGGCTTTAAGAGCTACTATTTTGTTCTTACAAAAGTTTTATTATAACATAATTCACATAACATTAAATTCACTCTTTTAAAAAGTACAATTCAGTCACTTTTAGCTTATTCACAGAGTTTTGCAACTATCACCACTATCTAATTTTAGAACAATTTCAAACCACCCAAAAGAATCCCCATAACCATTAACCATTGCTCCGTTCTTCCTGCGCACCAGCTCCCCCTACCCCAGCCCCTGGCAATCGTTAATCTGTTTTCTGTCTCTAAGGATTTACCTATTCTGAACATTTTATATAAACAGAGTCATAAGATATATAGCTTCTGTCACTTAGCATGATGTTCTCAGGGACCATTCATGTTGTAGCACGTATCAGTATTTCATCACAGTTTATGGCCAAATAATACTCCTTTGTATGGCTAGACCCCATTTTGTTTACCCATTCATCACTTGATGGGCATTTGGGTTGTTTTCACTTTTGTTGATTATGAATAATGTTGCTATGAACATTAAAATAATGTTCAATTGTGAAATAATGCTGCTAAGAACAAGAAGTTCTTGTGTGGACATATGTTTTCAATTCTCTTGGGTATATGCCTAGGGGTAGAATTGTTGGGTCATGTGGTAACTCTATGTTTAACATTTTGAGAAACTGCTGTACTATTTCCAGAGTGTCTGCCCCATTTTACATTCCCATCAGCAATACATGAGGGCTCCAATTTCTCCAATCCTCGTCAATACTTGATAATTTCTTTTTAAAAAAAATTGTAACCATTACAGTGGGTGTGAGGTGGTTTTGGTTTGCACATCCCTAATGACTAATGATCTGCATTTCCCTAAGGACTAATGATGCTGAGCATCTTTTCATGTGATTATTGGACTTTTGTACATCTTCTTTGGAGAAATGTCTAATTATTTGCCTTTTTGTTATTGAGTTGTAAAAGTTCTTTAAATATTCTGTATACAGATTCCTTATCAGATATATGATTTGCCAATATTTTCTCCCATTCTGTGGGCTGCCTTTTCACTTTCTTGATGTGCCCTTTGAAGCACAAAAGTTTTTAATTTTAATGAAATTCAATTATCTACTTTTTCTTTTGTTGCTGGTGATGTATCTAAGAAACATTGCCTAGTACAAGGTCTCGAAGATTTACTCCTATATTTTCTTCTAAGAGTTTTGTAGTATTTGCTCTTACATTTAGGCCTAATACCATTTTCAGTTAATTTTTAATTAAGGTAACTGTGTAAGGTAGGGGTCCAACTTCATTATTTGCATGTGGATATCTAGTTGTGCCAGCATCACTTGTTGAAAAGACTATTTTTGCCCAATGAGTTGTCTTAACACCCTTTTCAAAACTCAGTTCACCAAAAACATACGGGTTTATATCTGGACTCTAAACTCCATTCCGCTCATCTATATTTGTATCCTATGTCAGTGCTACACAGTCTTGATTATCACAGCGTTGTACTAAGTTTTGAAATCAGGAAGTGAGACTTCTCCAAATTTGTTCTTTTCCAAATTTGTTTTGGCTAGTCTGGGTCCCTTGCATTTTCATATGAATTTTAGAATCAGAGTGTCTTTTTTCCTACAAAAAAGCTAGCTGGGTTTTGATAAGGATTGCATTGAATCTGTAGATCAATTTAGGAGTATTACTATCTTAACAATATAAAGTCTTCTAATCCATGAACAGTTAACAGTGACAGTTAATTATAATAAATATTCTTTTTGGCTGTGTAATTATGCATAGATATATATCCTCAGGATGTCAAAGAAAAAATTGGGATATTTGTTATAAAGTTTTAACTGTCTATTTTTGCCTCTTTACTCCCTATTCCAAGTGGAATTTTCTTCTTGATCCCTTGCCAAGAAAATAACATACTTTCTGGTTCAAATCAACATTCTGCAAGGTGAAAAGGACTTTTTTTCTAGTTCTAGTTAGATGGTAAGTAAAGGTTCTATTCATGTCAACAACATACTTAATACACCGAATATATTGAAATGTCAATTAGAATTTGAAAGGAATGTTGGGCCAATTACAATGTGCTAATCTGCTCAAGGGTAATTCTGAACTGACTACAGTTTTATAGCAATCATGTCAATAACTACAGACTTAAAAAAGAACACAGAGATTCATAGACATATATCTAAGATGAGAGTTCTACTATTTTAAAAGTAGCATCAAAAATTCTTTGCCTTGCTACAGCTATCAAAGGGCAGTAACCATAGTTTATCATCTCAACTAATGGGCAGTGTCTGTTCACTTGCCAAAATCATTTCTATATACTGCAGTAACAGAATTCTTTGCTATTCTCTAGAGATGGGGCAGGCAGACAGGTGCTCAGGGCATCCTGCGAGCACACAAAGCCAATTCTGGATTGCCTTCAACAACCCTGGAGCCGTGCAGTGCTTCAAGACCCACAGACAACGGCAGCTTGTTTCTTAACAAGGTCCATTAAACCAATTTTTCCAGGAATTATAATTGAGAAGCAATAATTTAGGAGCACTTAGAGTTTTCCTTCACTAAATTACATGGTGAAATGAAGAGTCACGAAATCACACATATCTAAAAAGGAAAATGATATTTTTTCTCATAGCTTACTTAAATAACTTGCAGAAAAATCTGTAAAATCATCACTTTTAAATTTGGAAATAAAAGGGCAAAAATAATCTGATTATGAAGAGCTAGAGGCATCAACAACTGGAGTAAACAAGTTCTTCAACTTTAGTCTTGAGAAGTATTAACTATGTGATTTCAGATCCTCCAACTTTCCTCTAGAAAACAGAATGGTTTGAGAAGCTCTATATTTAATTTTATTGGTAAAATTATTACAATTTATATTTTAATGTTAACTTCAAACAAAGTGAGAGATGTGACCAGGTGTATAGACCGTAAGGGTGTAAAGCTATTTCAAAATGTATTTTGTCTTTCCCTTTTGCGCAATTACAATCCTTTGCTCTCTAATAAAGTTCAGCAGGAGGTCGTGTCTTGCCAACCAGAAAGAGATCTTTAAGAAGCTGTCCTGGGGCCAGCCCCGTGGCTTAGCTGTTAAGTGCGCGCGCTCCGCTACTGGCGGCCCGGGTTCGGATCCTGGGCGCGCACCGACACACCGCTTCTCCGGCCATGCTGGGGCCGCATCCCACATACAGCAACTAGAAGGATGTGCAACTACGACATACAACTATCTGCTGGGGCTTTGGGGAACAAAAAAAAAGGAGGAGGATTGGCAATAGATGTTAGCTCAGAGCCGGTCTTCCTCAGCAAAAAGAGGAGGATTAGCACAGATGTTAGCGCAGGGC